ATATATATATATATATATAAATATATATATATGACAGAACAGTCATCATTCTAGTCAATAAATAATTGGCGGGAAAATGATTAGGCAGATAGCATTTATGTACATGACATGAACTATGCATTTTAAAATATTTAAATTGTAAAATTTTTGTTTTGTATTCTAGTATTTGCATTATCATTAACTGATATCAATGAAGGTCCAAGAGGACCTAGCGGCGCCACCGGCGCCACCGGCGCCACCGGCATCAGCGTCATCGGAGCTACAGGAGCCACCGGAGCTACAGGTGCCACCGGAGCAACAGGTGCCACAGGGGCTACAGGGGCTACAGGTGCTACAGGGGCTACAGGGGCCACCGGAGCTACAGGGGCCACCGGGGCTACAGGGGCTACAGGGGCCACCGGAGCTACAGGGCCCATCGGGACTGCAGGGGCTACAGGGGCCACCGGAGCTACAGGGGCCACCGGGGCTACAGGGGCTACAGGGGCCACCGGAGCTACAGGGTCCACCGGACCTGTCGCCAGCAGTTAAGATACGCCTGGAAATTTGGACACTGATGCCATTCGAGCTGAATAATGCTCAACATAATTGTTTACAAGGTGCTTATCCCTTCAGTCAGAAACTGTGTGGCAGCATTTCAATAGTGGTAGCTTATTGTGTTTTTTAGCGGTTTATCAACCCTTCCCAAAATCAAACTTTCTGAAACTGCCATAATAAAAACGAATACAATCTGTTTCAAGCTCCATGATTCCTTCTTATTATAGGCCAAATCTTCTTATTACTTTTTCTGTCATTTTAAATAGTGTAAAAACTAGCATAGTCTTTGGTGTTTGCACCTGCAGACAGTCGGTATATCAAAAACAGTTGACTTCGAATTTACGAAACTTGTTCTTTTGTATATACACCTCATGAATAGATAAAATGTTGAAATACCTGAATTTTTGAAGAAATGTAGTAATATACTTAAAAGGATCCTTTTAAGTATATTAAGTTCGATAAACAATTCAAATTTTAAATTTTATAGTCACTTTTATGACTATAACACACACAATAATACAAGCATCTTTATTTAAAGTCGCATACATGTAAACAAAGAACGTTAGATCTGGAGAACTATAATTGCGACAAACATATGTAAAACAACAAAAAACACATTTTATCACATTATGTACTGTGTTATCCAGTGAATATGCCCATGTTATTTTTTGGCGTATTAACCCATGTAATATGACCTATCAGCCCTATGATTGGTTGTAAGCTTCTATTATTCAAATGTGAAGACGCGCCTAGGACAAGTACATGACGTCACAGACCTACCCACTAGAGTCAAATTGGCGGCTTTTTACATTTCAAGGTTGTATGGAAATTGTCGTTTTACACGAATAAATGCCGCAAATCTTGATTCTGTGATAAAAAGGATCTTACACTCGTTTTCATTTCGTATAAAATTTATAAAACTCGTCACGAATTTTTCATTTAAGCTCGCCAGAGGCTCGCTAAATTGAAAATTTCTTACAATCGTTTCATAAATCTCATATGAAATGACAACAAGTGTAAGAACCAATATATATTATAAGTAAAGGGAGATAATCACATATATTAATAAAAGCAATAATAACAATAATAATCACATCATATCCCCGGCTTCTAAGTGATTGGGAGCCCCCTCCCTACAAAGGCCCCCTGGATATGACACTTTTGATAAAATAAATATATGAAAATAGTGTTAATATGAAAAGCATTAAATGCTATCACAGATAAGTAGTGTTCAGATTAAGTTAATAACAGTCATAGTTAATATTGAATGAATACTTGTATATTACACAATAATTACTCAGGTCTAAGGATTAAAATACTATCAAGTGGAATATACATACATTGCTAATATAGCAAAGAATAAAAAAAAATACAGAATATACACAAATATAGTGTGAATTTAAAAAATGATACTGCCATCAATTATCAAAATTTGTCATGTTTTGTAAAAAAATAAATATTTTAGAATGTATGGAATTAAAATAAGAATAAGCTGCTGCAAAAATATGAAATAGGACTGATACACATACAAAATGAAATAAAACAACAACAGTATATACAATTCAAAATGTCAGGTGGCAGAGGTAACCAGGGCACAATATGAAGTATCACTCTTTACAGATATTACAAAGGCAGATGGGGCCATCCCAGGAATGGACCAGCCTCCTGAATTCTTTGAAGTTTTCAACTGTTCGGAAGTCATTGGGGATACTGTTCCACACCCGGGCAGCCCCAAAAGCAAACATTTTTTTGTCCATACTTCACAGTGTTGACCCTGGGCACCTTTGCAGTATTTTCTTTCCTGAAGCCATAATTAGACATCTTAATATTTACAAGGTTATGAATATATTTAGGAGACATTTTGGTTATAATTTTAAAAATCTAACAACCCATATCCTTCAGACACCTTGCATGTAGCCTATCGCTGTTTGTAATACAAAATAAGTGCCTGAAGGATGAGTTGTGATAATTATGTATAAGCCTTTTAGCTCATTCTTGTATCTTTCCAAACTTTCTGACACTCTTCATGGAACAAGAGTGCCAGACTAAAGGACAGTAGTTAACATTTGAAAAAATAAAAGGATTATTTATTACAAGTCTACCTTGTTTGGTAAAAACAAACCTCCCAATTCGTTTTAAAACGGACAATTGCCTTGAGGCTTTCCTACAAATTTCAGAGATATGAGCTTCAAAGTTTAAAAATGAGTAAGTCAAAGTTCACACCTAAAAGTTTGACAACACTGACAGGAACAATATCTGTTTCGCCAACATTAAAAGACGATAAAGCATCTACCGAAGTTTCCTTTTACAAATTATCTGGTTTATTTTCAACCAGTCATTTACATTTTTACAGTCATTTTCAATTTTATGTTTTAAAACATCCGGGTCTTTATTTGAGTCACTGAGAATGTTGTCGTCTGCATAATTATATAATTTACATATAAAAACATGTCATTTACAACTACATTAAAAAGCAAAGGTCCTAAATTAGAACCCTGGGGTACCCTTTCAGCACTTCCACCAAGTCACCGCATTTGGAGCCAATTTTTACCTGCTGCTCGGGTAGCTGGACACCAGATTAACTGTGGTTTTGCTCAAGCCATATGTCTCCAGCTTCCCGACCAACAAGCTACGAGGAAGACAGTCAAAAGCCATGGAGAGGACCATCAAATTTGGATTTCAAACTCCTGTAGTTACGTTTGTTACAATACTTTTATTTACTTTTCTTCTTTTAATGAAAAGAAAGTACTTTTACAAAAGCGGTATGGCTTGTCACACCGGAAATAGTGACAGGTATAGGTGGGTAACCTATACGCTACATTTCATGCAGAATTGGGGGTTGCTTGTTTGTCCTCTACTTGAGCACACAAAAGCGACCAAAATAAATCTGCTGCACCAATTGCAATATTTGGGATTTGAATATTTCTCTCTACTTCTAACTACCTTTTATTTCCTAGTGCCCTGCTTGGCAATACCTCCCGTTTGGTTTTAATGTTGAGCGTTCGCACAGGTGAGGAAGGCAATGGGTTCTATCCCCAGGCCGGGATATACCAAAGTCCTTAAAAATGGTAGTTGTTGTTCCCTTCTTAACGTGCAGCATTAAGGGTAATGGCAAAAACTGGTTCACTCGTTGTCAGTATTACGTGACCGGGCGGAATACTATACTGGGTGCCTTCAGCATGGTGTTTCAGTGAGATAGCACTTTAAAATCGGCATCAGATCCACGCTATCACAAGGAGGCAAATACACCAACATGCCCTGTCTCAAGCACACAAACACACATGCATGCATCCATAACATACATGGAGGCACGTCCTTAAATGACCTAAGCTGTTCATAGGACGTTAAATAAAATAAAACCAAACCAAACCAAACCTTTTATTAGCAATGTTCATTACCTAAACGTTTATATAAGGGTAGGTATAAAACAGGTCGTGATATAACATATTTTCTAACTTAAGGATTGTGTACCTTCCAAAAACTCTTAAAAGGCTTATTCACTCAAGTTCGTACCGACAAACTATACAGGCCCAGTGACTATAAAGCGTAACTTCCATGAAGTACGTGTACGTACTAAACGATTATAACGATTTTAATCAATATTCATATTTTATTTTTGTTCTATTGTTCAGTGGTCGATCGATCGAAAGAGAGAGGTGTTCTGCCTCATCTACTAGGTCCATCCAATTGATAGCTCGTCCTCAAAGAGCGAACAGAGGTATTAATAAGCATAAAACTGAAATTCTCAAAAAAAAAACGTTTTTTCCTAAACGATGAATGTTGTCAAATTCACAATGCATTGAAGAATAAGTGCTGATGCAAACAACATTAAGAATCATTTGCTACAGTATACATATAAAAGTCTCTTGCTATGGTGAGTTATCAGATATTTATCATCTCAAGCAATGATATTTTCCAGACAAAAAATGTGTTCATCTTAGAATAAAAGTATCTAGTTTTGTATACCAAAAATATTTTGATTATAGAAGGACTAGGTCATGAAATACCAGTGGCAAAGTATCAATCCAGGATATTCACTCTACATCCTAATCAGTAATCGGATTCCCATACCACTTTCTTGCAATATCAATGGCATTCAGAGATTGTTTGTTTGTTTGTTCGTTTATGTATATATATTAAAGTTAGACGCCCTTTTAACTGTTGTTGACATTTACATATAATGTCTTGTACAATGCAAGAGAAGGACATTTGTTCGAATGTTTGAACTGTCCAATGCTTAAGACTGACATGGTAAGACTCTACAATCCATCAGGATTTAGGAACTGTCCTGTTATTGTTAGCCTGTAGATCAGCGTATATATGGGCATACCGGTATTAATACCAGATGCCTCTAACATTGGCAGGGCATTTCTAAAACCAGTATCAATGACTTCATTGTCAGCCAACCATGTGAGCTTGTAAATGATGTTTTTGTAATGCTTGCATTATTTTGGCTTCCAGAGAATTGTCCTACTGTGTCCAAAACGTAGCATTCAGGTAGAGCTGTACTCATGCATTTTAGATAATTACGCTTCTTTTGGCATCAGTAAGACATTCTCTGAAGCTTATTGTCGGCACCTTTTTTTTTTTAATATAAATATGTGTACCAACTAGTATGACAGTCATTTTGTCTCCAAATAACGTTTTTGATAATACAGTATTTTGTGAAAGTATCTATTCCCTACTCAAATGGTCAGGCCAAGGAACACTGGAACTATAGATTTATTCAATGCTTGTACTACAGAATGAAAGGTTTTGAAATACTAGACAGGGAAATGCCAAAAAGAGTGGAACACTGATACCAACAGATATCAGTTTACATATTAAACCAAAACAGTAAAAGATCTTTTTGTGTAGTTTTCGTATATACTGAAAAAGAAAAAAATGGGACCAAGTGCGAAAGGATTTTAGGAAACTGTTCTGTTGATCAACCTGTCCAAGCTGAGCAGCGAGGGTGATTCAAGAGAGAATCTTTGATAAGATGTACGACATTTCTAAAAGGTCATCAATTATTTCAGACAACCTACTTAATAATTGAGAATCCAAAGGCTCTCTTCCTTGTAGGATAACTTGTGTACACGAGTTCACGACATTGCCAATAAGATGAAATGACCATACACGTGATGACGTAGAACACCACAGTTTGTGTGTGAAAACTATCTGATGCCTGGTATGTTTTGGAAGAAGTGTGGATTT